ACTGGCCCCAGCGCGCCCAGCGCCTCCATCATCCTATCCTTGATGTAGCCTTGGTTGACCTGGCATGTGCCTCGCAGCCACGCTGCGTACCAGTGCAATGTCTGGAAGTGGTAGTCAGAGTCTCCCTCCTTGTCAGACAGCCCCCCCACCGCCAGCCTGACGAGCTGGAAAGCCTCGTGACCATCGTTCTCTATCATTCCAACGCTCATCAGGTCCTCCAAGACTTCTCGCTTATTTTCTGCGGGCTTGTTCGAGAAAACCCACGGTGGTGGTTCAAGCTTCATCACCCTTGCGGCACCCATGGTGCTGGATACTCTCTCGCCTGCATGTCCCTCGGCGCACGACAGATCGTAGTCCATCCGCAGGGACTGCTGGATGCCCGTCTTCTTCACCAGGGGGTCCGGGACGAGCTCGGGATGCAGTCCGCTCGGAATCCCTCGCAGCTCGCTCGCGGCCACACCAGACAGCCCGTCGTAGAAGTCCTCGAGAGGAGGAGGCAGCCCCGGGCCTCCAGCGACCCGAAAAACACTTTTTTGGTCGGCGGGGCGAGAGCGAACCTCCTCTGCTAGAAGCTCGGCGGGCTACGCACAGCTTTGATTAGGGAGGCAGGGCACACCGACCCGAAAAAACACGCCCCGGTGCGTTTCGCAACTCTCGGCGGCCGTGAGCCGTGTCTGGGCCCCTGGACCGCGGGAGCGCCCGAAAAGGCAAGGGAACATCGGCGGGTACAGACGCGACCACCTCTCGGGTGATGAGGAGGTTCGGGGGGGAGGGGAAGAGCCAACTGCTGGCAACTGCGATGGCTTTGTTTTTTTCGTGGCGGGCGGCCCTGAACCTCGGGAAGACTGGTCACAAGGAAGTTCAAGTTAGGAAAGTTGCATCCAAATAGTCACTAGTCTCATGGCCTCCTTCATCGCTAGAAGCTCTGTGAAAAAGGGCGTGCATTCGTGGTCGACAAATTGGCCCTTCACCAAGAGCAGTTGCCGTATCCAACCTTGCTGTGGATGGTGCTTCCAGAGCGTAACCGTCATGCCCGTGGAGCCTATATGGGAAGCCCGGCGTGCCCCTCCATCCGTATGTATTTGGAGACAACACTGATCACCACGCAAATGGCTGACGATACTCTGGTCCCAAATGAGCAAATTGCTGCGGCGATGGTTACGATGACGACGATGCTGGCGGCGCGCCCGAGTTTGGCGACGACGCTTGACGAGGATGTTGCGCCGCGATGTGATGTCACGATCGACCCCGCTATCGGTCTCACTCGATCGATCTCACTATCGACCTCACAGCCAGTCCCAGTATCGATGGATCCAGCGATCGATGCCATTAGCGATCTCACGCTGGGTGGGGCTGAATACGATCGGGACACCATCGGGGCACCATCGAGCCAAATCAGTGTAGGGTCACCGCGCTGTGAGGGATGCTTGCTGACTGTGGTGGCTGAGTGTTGATGGCGATGTGATGGTTCTTTCTGCACTCGCGCCATCGCCTCCAAGTGAACTTCGCGCCATAGCCCAATCACGTCGGACTCGGTGACCGAGTCGCTGCCCACAAGGCTGTCCAACGCGACCACCTATCGATGCAGCCATCGATCTCACAACCGATCTCACCACATCTCGGTCGTTATCGATCTCACCATCGATATCACTATCGATCGGGACACCATCGGGACACCACGGCGGGACACCGCGGCACACCACTGGACGACACCACGGAACACCGCGGGACACCGCTCTTACACCGCGGGACACCACGGGACAACACAAGTCACCCTTGAGGCACCACGGCGGGACACCGCGGGACACCATCGAGACATCGCGGGACACAACGGCGGGACATCCCCAGCCACCGCGCGCCCACTGGAGAGCCGGACTTTTGCAGCATAATCGCCCTAACGACGGCGGGATCGTTCCTCTCGGGCGCCCACGGCGAGACACCGCGGGACACCATCGGGACACCGCGAGACACCACGGCAGGACACCCCCAGCCACCGCGCGCCCACCGGAGGGCCCGGCCCGACTTCTACATCCGAATCGCCCGAGCGACGGCGGGATCATTCCTCTTGAGCGCCCACGCAGCTTCGCCTCGCCCGCACGCACGACACGAAACCGAAACCGATTTCCTGGTGGGAGGTTCTCCCTTCCACTGCGATCCCACCGCCAACCTCCGATATCCCCATATGCGCATCAGACTTTAAGCGACGTCCTTTCTCCGCGTCTGAGCCAGCAAGAGTCGATGATGATGATGATGATGATGATGATGATGATGATGATGATGATGATGATGATATTGATGATATTGATGATGATGATTGAATAAAATGATGATGATGATGATGATGATGATGATGATGATGATGATGATGATGGTGGTGGTGGTGGTGGTGGTGATGGTGGTTATGATTAAGAGTACGAGTATGATTATGACTGTCCTTATGATTGTGACCATGACTATGAGTTTGATGATGATGTTGGTGATACTGATGATAATGATGATG